TTTGCAGGCAACCTATGTTACACTATGGAATTGCTGCAGGTCATAATTTAACAAGCATATGGGTGCAGGTGTACAGCCCTGAACACAGACAGTGAGCATTCAGGGCCACTTCCCCACGCCTTCACACCTGTCAGATTAAAACCTGTGTTCATACAGCTGCTGTGTCCCCATAATGTAACAGTGGCTCTAGCCACATAAACAACCCACTCATTCATGCTGTACAGGCCAGAGGACCTGTGTGAATGGGGCATTTTTTTACTTTTTTTTTTTTCCTCAGCTCGTTAATTTCAATGGCCTGCCTAATGTGTGGGAACATGCAAAAATACTGCAGGCATATTATTTTAAAAGTGTGCTGCACCTAACCGTGCACATCTGCAAAGGTCATTGCATTTCTTTGCTGTGCTGGAAAAATGTGTGTTCTTGCATGCGTTTCTGCACCACCAATGGTGTGAACAAGTCCTAAGGGCCAGTTCACACTATAGAAACAGTCTAGATGTGTTCCTGATGCGTTTTTGCATGCCCTTTAGGCATGCATGTTTAGTGTGTTCCAGTACATTTTGGATGCGTTTTGGACATGTTGCATTGCATTTTTGTATTCCTTCCAGTTAGTTTTTTTCTACTTTCTTTTTATTCAATTTAATTAAGGACATGTGCGTTTTAGTACATTCAAGGACATTTCAATGTGTTCCAGTACAGTTCTGTGCAGAAACAATGCAGCGTGGTCAACTTTGTTTACAGCACCTGCAATGCACTGAAAATGCAAGCGCTGATGTGAACTATGACATTGACAACCATATAACCTTCTTTCTGTGCCGAAATGATGAACCTTCTTTATGATGCCGAAAAAGCAACTGAAACACATGTAGTGTGAACTGGTCCTAAAGATTATTAGAGGTAAGGGAACGGGACTGACCAGGGATTGTGAATTCAATCAGACTAGTGGTGATATACAATCAGCAATCGTATAATAATGTGAGATCTGAGCTGTAGCTGATAGAAAATGAGACACATTCACTTGATCAGTAAATAGTTAAAAAGAGTGGGGCGGTGATCCATAGATTTGCATATGGGACAGGTGATGATGGGGTGGGGGAGGAGGTCAAGTTGTATAAGGAGACAGATTTAAAAGAAGAGAAAAAAGTTACAATGAAATATACACAGCATGAAACTTGCACATTTCCTAATTGGCAGAAGAACAGGACGCAGGTAACATTCATCCACTTTCTAGTCATTAGGCAAAATCATAATTGATTGATCAATATTCCTGGCACTGACACAACCCAGAAAATTGATTTCCATTTTTTTAACGTTCATAAATGTCAAGGAGCTTATAATCTAAGTGCAGAAACTCAGCCATGTAACTAGGTCCAATGAACCTAACAGCATGTCTTTTGAGTGTTAGGGAGAAACACATCCATACTGGGAAAGCATGAAAACTGGGAGGTAGCTATGACTGGGATTAGAACCCATGACCCAAGCGCTGTAAGTTCTGAGCTCTAACCACTAAACCACTGTGGGAGACACAGTTTGAGCTACAATGTAGAATAGTTACATTGTTTTAAAAATGATAAAGCGAGTGCTGGTCAAATTATATAGACTACTAAAATGGTATTACACAAGATAAATATAACCACGAACAGTAGTGCATGAACTCGTGAAAGGTCATCCACCCTTGTGACAGTGTACTACACTATTAAGCACCTTTCTGGCTCCTGTGGCTGAGCTAATTCCTCCCCAGGACCATTTGGGCACCCACCCTGATGGATGGCTGGAGCTGGATGACTAACCCATAGCTGCCAGCATACCGCTGCACCCCCAAATGTGTGATGTGTATAACCGATGCGCATTAATACTTTTGTTCTGGTGAGTGTAGACCAGTCCCAAGGGTGGTTTATCTTTCACGAGTGCATGCACTACTGTCCATCACGGAGAAACCACACGTGCCATTCATAGGCACTCCCTGAGTTGGTACTCTCACACGAAGGACATTCCATTATTCAGGAATGATTATATGAACTTATTTTAGCACCATTTACCATTTTACATCATTATTGCAATTATTTGCACTTTTTGGTTTTTACATGCGTTCATTATTGATCACATGCATTTATAGCGCTGCATTTGACTTTAACATAGAATAGTTACGTGATTAAAGAGAATGAAGATATATCATTATATTGGGAAATTAGAAGTATCCAAATTATTTGAGATATAAGTGTGAAAATGTTTAACATTTGAAAATAGAATGTATGACATTCATTAGTAAATGCATTAGTTGTCTGATCATTTTGGAGAATCAGCAAAAAAAAATAAAAAATAAAAATAAATTACAATATAGGTGTACTAATTATGTTACATTCTAAATATTCTCTTATGCTAAGAGAAAAACACCAATGCTACAATGCCCGCGCTTGTGCGCCATCTAGCGAACATATCCGGTATTGCACCTAAAAATGTTCCATACGCGGCTCCACATTTACTAATAGCAAAGTAGACGTTCGTCAATGAGATTTGCTAGACGCCGCTCAGAAGACTGACAGGTCTTGATTGATTTAACTGAGTCTGCCTGAATGTTCAGAGTCTGCTAGTAGACAGTGTAAAAATAATTGAAAAAAATTCAAAATAACTTAAAAAAAAACACCCACGCACGCGCAGCTGCTGCGTGCACGAGCGTTGACCCTGTAAACAGCATTTGCGCCATGCATGTGAGGTATCACTGCGAACGTCAGATCAAGGGCAGTAATTCTAGCACTATGCCTTCTCTGTAAATCACGCATCAGTCATTGCCTATCGAAACATCCGGTAAAAACAATATATATACCCAAAGTATCTTTACAGTTCTATAGCTCCACTACTCCTAAATCAGGTTGTATAACCTGATTTTATAACCTTCTATAATGTAAATCAGAATTTAACCTCCCTAGCGGTATGAATATGTCAGTATTTCTGTGCTCAAAGCGGTACATTGTTTTAATTGGAAATATGTTGTTTTTTTTATTGTAGGCCTGTAATTCTTAGGAATAACTCATTGAAATCTGTTTAAACAAGAGTCTAGTAGACATCCTGGGTGCAATAAAGTTTAATACATTAAATCATAAATTATAATATAATAAAAAATAATAATATAATAATAAATTAAAAAATGTAATCAAATCAAACGGAACTCTGTCCAAACAATATTATATAGACAGTGCATATTCTAGAAAACATCACGGGTGTGGTATATTTTGAAGTTGTTTCATCAAAATCCTCATTGTTTGTGAAGTGCAAAAATTTCATAATGAGTGAAAAGCTGTACTCCGACATGACTGTGCCAAAGAACGGCGTGGCCGAGAAACAGCCAAATGTCCTCTTTGGTCACAGGTTCCCACTTTCTGCTTCGTGAAAACCTGCTGTGTGGAGCAGCTAGTTGTTGCGCTCCGTACCTATTTGTCTCCGTCACAATTATTTCAATAAGCTCATCAGTCAGAAACAATTCTAAGTATGCCAAGGGGTTGTCACCTTCAACGTGGACTTTCATACCAGGGGCGCCGGTAAACGGAAATCTTGGTGGCACTGGCGTACCGCAATCAATAGTGCACCACGTTCGCAGATCACTCACGTCAATCTCAGATTCGCCGCTGTCTTCACTGTCAGTGTCTGAAGAGAAATCTCCACATGAGTCGCTATCGCTCAATTCAAGTAGTTCCTCACTGTCGCTGTTTGCTAGCTCATCATAAACCGCTTTGGCGCTAGCAAGACGCTTTTCGGAAGCCATGAGTGCAAAAACATTTTTTAGTCGCAGAAACTGAAAAACTGCACTATGGATATATCTGAAGTATTGTTACAATGTATGCACTAGAGTAACACTGGCACAGGTCTATTTTTAAAATTCCCGCCTCCCGCAAGCCCCGCCACCCGACGGCACAGCGCGGCTGTCTCACGCTGATCACACTGATCAGCGTGAGATAGCCGGGAAGGAGACAGCGGACGGTCGGAGGGGATGGCTCGAGGCGGCTGCAGGACCCAGGACACGGATCGCAGGACCAGGTGTGTAGTTTGCGGTGACCCCGAGTCTGGCTCAGGGGGTTACTGCTTTTGACAGCTAGAATTAACCCCGAGCCTCGGGAAAACCGCTAGGGAGGTTAATAAGACTACTCCCTTAATCAAGTGGGAAAAAGACTTAGAGACTGAAATCTCTAATGAGCAGTGGGAATGTGCATTCAGGAATGTGTTTTCAGCTACTAGATGCTTTAACCTTTGGGAGCTAACGCACAAAATTTCCATAAGATGGTATCTAACTCCTTACCAAATTGTCAGAACAACATAGTCCTCAATGCTGGAGAAACAGCGGTCAGATTGGTACGCTATTACATATATTATGGACGTGTAAAAATATTAGAAGCTATTGGTATAAAGTTTTCCACATAATATCTGAAATTACTGGGATATTAAAACAACCAAATTACTGGGATATTAAAACTACCCTAGCCGTTTTGAATATAAATATAGATACAGTACATATCCAATCCATTGTCAACTCTTAACCACTAGCCTACAGGGCACTTATACCCCCTTCCCGCCCAGGCCAATTTCCAGCTTTTAGCGCTGTCGCACTTTGAATGAAAATTGCGCGGTCATACAAGATTGTACCCATATGAAATTTTTATCATTTTTTTGTGACAGATAGAGCTTTATTTTGGTGGTATTTAATCACCTCTGGGTTTTTCATTTTTTCTTAAACAAACCAAAAACCACTGAAAATGTTGAAAAAAAAAGTTTTTTCTTAGTTTTTGTTATAAAAGTTTGTAAATAAGTGATTTTTCTCTCCTTCACTGATATGCGCTAATGAGGCTGCAGTGGTGGGCACTGATAGGCTGCACTGATGGATACTGATAGGTGGCACTGATGGGCATTGACAGGCATCACTGATAGGCACTGAAAGGCAGCACTGATACATGGCACTGATAGGCGGCACTGATAGGCGGCACTGGCTGGCACTGATAGGTGGCACTGATTGGCACTGTTAGGCGGCACTGAAAGACACTGATAGGCGGCACTGACTGGCACTGATAGGTGGCACTGATTGGCAGCACTGATAGGTGGCACTGACTGACACTGATGGGTGACACTGAAAGGCAGCTCAGATGGGCACTGATATGTGGCATTGATGTGCATTGGTAGGCACTGATATGTGGCATTGATGTGGCACTGATGGGCACTGGCACGAGGCACGGATGAGCACTGACACAAGGCACTGATGGACACTGACAGGTGGCACTGCTGGGGCTACACTGATCATCAGTGCCCTGATGACCAGTGTACATGTCCCCTCCGTGGAAAGCCGATTACCGGCTCTCCTCTCCTCTCGAGCTGTAAGCGTGACAGCTCGAGAGGAGAGAAATGCCGATAACCGGCATTTCCCTGTTTACATGTGATCAGCTGTGATTGGACACAGCTGATCACATGACGGAGCCGACATCTTCGGCTCTTTCCGTGATCGCCGCGCAGCGCACTCCCTGAGCTGCGCATGCGTGGTGAGAATGGGAGGACGTCATATGACGTCCTCCCAGAACGAGAGAAGCACCTTGCACCCGTCATTGGACTATATGGCGGGCGGGAGGTGGTTAATGACACATATTCTTCTAGTATCAAGACACTGAAAAAAAGACTTAGCGCCTTCTCTAAAAGAAGTAATTGAGCTAGTCCAGACCCACTTCATCTATGAGAAATCTTTAGCTTACCTAAATTATAGAATTACTAAATTTGACAAAGCTTGGAAACCCTGGTCCGACTGGTGCAGAACTGTAACCTAAAATATTATTTTTAACCTTTTTGTTTGGATACTCTAAAATGATGGAACTAGTAGGATTGCAAGGAATTATTCAATATTTCCTTTTTTCTCTTTGTTAAACTTTAACAAAGTACCTATACTGTGATATTGTGTAGCTTTTCACTGTCCTATTTTTGTTTTTGTTTTTTTATTGTTAGATTTTTATTTGGTTTTACAAATATAATTACATTATGGGAAAAAAAAGAAATGAGATAGGCAGATAGATTTTTATTTGGTTTTACAAATATAATTACATTATGGGAAAAAAAAGAAATGAGATAGGCAGTCAGCACATTAGGGCAGATCAATTTTCAAATATACAGTTAAATCTATATATATTTGGACACAGACACATTTTTCGTTTCAGGTATTGACCAAAATATATTCAAGCTATAGTTTTATAATGGATATGGGCTGAAAGTGCACACTCTCAGGTTTAATTTAAGGGTATGTACATCCATATTGGAGGAAGGGTTTAGGAATTACAGCTCATAAGAGTAGCCACCCTCCCCCCCTTTTTCAAGGGACCAAAAGTAATTGGACAAACAAATATAATCATAAATAAAATGTTCATTTTTTTTTAATTGTAGTTTTCCAAACGTCACAATGACAGAAGACAAACATTTGCTTAGAAATAAGTGGGGTAAAGAAAAATATGGATTTATATGAACAGCATGACATTCAGCATTGTTAAAAATCAAATGCATTGTAAACCTGCACATCATCAAGTTACAAAGATTTGCAATCTTGGTCAAAAACACTTGAGTTATCATTATTTCCCAAACTATACTAGAGGGGGTGAAAGAGGAGGGGAGGGAAAGTATTTACCAAAAGGCGAATGGTTCCATGCTCCCCAGAGTGAAAAACACCGGAATGTTCAACTACTAGGGCTGTAAGGTATTCCATTTCCCTTATTTCCAAAATTGTCCTTATAAAATGAGTTTGCGATGGCGTGTCCACTGACTTCCAAAAACGTGGTATCATCTTTCTAGCAGCCTTCAAAATGTGCCATCCCAACCGTTTAGATATTCTGGGGATACCCCGAAAGGGGGACCCAGAAGGTAATGGAGTGGATCTAGGGGCAGAGCAACATTCAGGACTTGTTCCAACACCCCGTGAACCATAACCCAATATCCCACAATTTTCTGGCAGGACCAAACAATGTGTGACAGTGTACCCACTCCATCCACGCATCTCCAACACTTATCAGATACACTTGGATTGATTGCGTGAAGCACCACTGGAGTCCTATACCAATGCGTCAACACCATATATATATTTTCTTTATATACAACATGAGAGGACTTGGCAGCAGAGTCCCATATCACCTGCCAGCACTTTAAAGAAATTGAACAATTAGGTTATTCTTCCCACCTCTTCATATACCTGTGTGACTTCTCTGCCATATGTTCTCCATGGAGAAGCAATTTATAAAGAGAGGTGATGAGGTGCTGTTGGGAAGGGCCTTTAATAGCTATTCTCTAGAAAACTGTGGGGCGTTCTAAAGTCAAAGAAGAGCTTAGGGATTGAAAAAAGTATCTGAACTGCAAGTAAGTGTATCTAGCGGATGTGGGTATCGTGGGCTTCCATGTTTTAATCTCTTCAAATGATGAATCCTGTGTGTAGCAGGGTTGACTAAATGACGTAACTGAAAAATGCCATTGAGAGCCCACGGGTACATCCGTAAATAAGACAAACTATCCGGAATCTCCGGATTATACAATAAATTCAACAGTGGGAAGCATCGAGACAGTACTTGGTGTGATTTTGCACATGTTGACCAGACCTTAAGGGTAAATTTCATCGATTCCAATAACAAAGGTGTCGGGGAAGGAGATGTTGCATAGTGAGAAGGACGTAGCATTGAACAAAGGGTGAATCGGATGAATATAGTTTAGTTCTATCCATGTCCATCTATTATGGGGTTTCTGGGTGAACCATGACAGTGTTTGTATCAGATGGGCAGCTAAGTAATATTTAACAATATCCGGAGCACCCAGGCCCCCAGATGTTCTAGATGTTAAAAGAACCAACTGTGCTATCCTGGGTTTGTTAGCTTGCCAGATAAATTTAAGGAATGCTTGCTGTAAGGTTTGTAATTTGACACAAGGGATCGCAATTGGTAGGGTCTGAAACAAAAATTCAAAAATATTTTTAATATTTTGTTGAGAATCCTGTACTGGCAATGACTGCCTGAAGTCTGGAACCCATGGACATGACCAAAGACTGTGTTTCCTCCTTTCTGATGCTTTGCCAGGCTCTAACTACAGCTGTCTTCAGTTTTTCTTTGTTTGTGGTTCTTTCTGCCTTTAGTTTTGCCTTCAGCATGTGAAATGCATGCTCAATTGGGTTGAGATAAGGTGATTGACTTGGCCATTGCAGAATATTCCACTTCTTCTCCTTCAAAAGCTCTTGGGTTGCTTTTGCAGTGTGTTTTGAATCATTGTCCATCTGTACTGTGAAGCGCCGTCCAATCAACTTTGTTGCAGTTGGCTGAATCTAGGCTGACTGTATATCTCTAAACACTGCAGAATTCATCCGGCTGCTTCTGTCTTCTGTCACATCATCAGTAAACACCAATGACCCAGTGCCACTGGAAGCCATGCATGCCCATGCCATCACACTGCCTTCACCATGTTTTACAGATGACGTTGTGTGCTTTGGATCATGAGCTATTTCAAGCCTTCTCCACACTTTTTTCTTCCCGTCATTCTGGTAAAGATTAATCTTAGTTTCATCCATCCAAAGAATGCTTTTCTAGAACTGGTCTGGCTTTGTTAGATGTTTTTTCGCAAAGTCTAATCTGGCTTTTCTATTCTTCAGGTTTATAAATGGTTTGCACCTTGTGGTATTTGCTCTTGTGAAGTCTTTTCTTGATTGTAGACTTTGACAATGATATGCCCACCTCCTGGAGAGTGTCCTTCATTTGTCTGGATGTTGTGAATGGGTTTTTCTTTACCATAGAGAGGATTTTGCGATCATCCACCACTGTTGTCTCCGTGGACGTCCATGCCTTTTTATGTTGCTGAGCTCACTTCGTCTTATTTCCTCAGAATTTACCAAACTGTTAATTTGGCCACTCCTAATGTTGCTGCGATCTCTCTGATGGATTTGTTTCTTTTTTGAAGCCTTACAATGGCCTGTTTCACCTGCATGGACAGCTCCTTTGAACGCATGATGTAGGTTCACAGCAATAGATTCCAAATGCAAATACCACACTTAGGTGTCCGTTTATGACACAGAGAATAGCTGCGATTCAACAGATCTCAGCTATTCTCTGGTCATTCACAGTTTATGACACTCAGGAGATCATGTCAGCCCTTCTCTGGAGATCTGTGTTCTCCCTCCAGATTCTCCAGCCCAGAGCTGGAGAATCAGAGGGACCAAAAACTAAGCAGAGATAATTTACCTCTGCTTAGTAAACTGATCTTTTACTGTAATCTCGCGAGATTATAGTAAAATGAGCCGTTTTTCAGAGTTTGTAGACCGTTCTCCAGCGTTTGGAGACCGTTCTCCCTTCGTTCGGAGAACTGCTTCATAAACTGCATTCACAGGAGAACTGTGTTCTCCGAGAATGCCGGAGAACTGAGCAGCGATCTATTACCGCTGGTTCATAAACGGACACCTTAGAATCAGTCCAGACCTTTTACCTGCTTAATTGATGAAGAAATAATGAAGAAGTAATCCACACCTGGCCCAAAAACAGCTTTTGATGCAATTGTCCAATTACTTTTTATCCCTTGAAAAAGGTGGGTATCTACTCTTAATAGCTGTAATTCCTAAACCATTCCTCCAATGTGGATGTACATACCCTCACATTAAACATGAGAGTGTGCACTTTCAGCCAATATCCATTATATTAATACAGTTGCAAGAAAAAGTATGTGAACCCCTTACGTGGAGTTTTGCATGAATTGGGCATAAAATGTGCTCTGAACGTCATCTAAGTCACAACAATAGAAGAACACAGTCTGCCCAACATAATACTGCACAAACATTAGATGTTGCCATGGTTTAATTGCACATAACATGTAAACATTCACAGTGCAGGGAGGAAAAAGTATGTGAGGCCCTAGCTTAATGACTTCTCCCAGAGCTAATTGGAGCCAGGAGTGAGCCAACCTTGACTCCAATCAGTGTGATGATATTGGATGTGTTGCTGACAGCTGTCCTGCCCTTAAAAAACACACACCTGTTTTGGGTTTACTGGTTTCAAGAAGCACTGTCTGATGTGAACCATGCCTCGCAGAAAAGAGCTCTCAGAAGACCTGCGATCAAGAATTGTTGACTTGCATGAAGCTGGAAAGGGTTACAAAAGTATCTCCAAAAGCCTTGATGTTCATGTGTCCACGGTAAGACAGACTGTCTACAAATGGAGAAAGTTTAGCACTGTTACTACTCTCCCTAGGAGGGGTCGTCCTGTAAAAATGACTGCAAGAGCACAGCGCAGAATGCTGCATGAGGTAAAGAAGAATCCCAGAGTGTCAGCTAAAGACCTACAGAAATCTCTGGCACATGCTAACATTTTTGTTGACACATCTACAATAAGGAAAACATTAAACAAGAATGGAGTACATGGGAGGACACCACGGAGGAAGCCATTGCTGTCCAAAA